ATATCTTGATAGAGGGAGATATTACAGGGTAAGGGAGTAACCTGGTGCTAGGGAAGTTCCCAGGAATCCATAAGGATGACCTCAGCTTAGACTACTAGCAATAGGGCAGAAGGTGCTTGATCTGACCTACCTCATTAATCAGACTGGTGAATACCCTGTCATCATAGAGCCTTCATCCAGTAACTGATGGAAGCAGATGCAGAGATTCACAGCCAAGTACCGGGCTGAGCTCCAGGAGTTCAGTCAAAGAGAGGGAAAAGGGATTCTATGAGCAAGGGGGTTCAAGATTTTGATGGGGAAATCTACAGAGACAACTGTATAAAGCTTGTAGGGACTCACAAATTTTAGACGGACAGCTGTGGAGCCTGTATGGGACTGGATTAGGCCCTCTACATAAGCAAGACAGTTGTGTAGCTTGGTCTGTTTAAGGGGCCCCTGGCAGTGGGATCAGGATCTATCCCTGTGCATGAGCTGGCTTTCTGGAGCCCATTACCTATGGTTGGATGCCTTGCTCACCCTTGATGCAGAGGGAAGGAGCTTAGTCCTGCCTCAACTGAATGTACCAGGCTTTGTTGACTCCCCATGGAAGGCCTTACACTTATGGAGGAAGGGATGGGGGGATGGGTGGGGGGGATGCTGGGCAGAGCAGGAAAAGGGATGAGAGGGGTATCTGTGGTTGGTACGTAAAACAAATAAAAATATTTTAAATCAAAAAAAAAAAAGAGCACTCAATGCTCTTATAAAGGATCCAGCTTCGGTTCTGCAAGTGGGTCACAGCTGCCTGTAATATTGGTCCAGGGGTGCCGGGCGGTGGTGGTACACACCTTTAATCCCAGCACTTGGGAGGCAGAGGCAGGTGGATCTCTGTGAGTTCGAGGCCAGCCTGGTCTACAAAGTGAGTTCCAGGAAAGACACAAAGCTACACAGAGAGACCCTGTCTCGAAAAACCAAAAAAAAAAAATTGGTCCAGGGGCTTTAAGGCTCTCTTGTGGCCTTCTCTAGCGCACACACACACACACACACACACACACACACACACACACCCTCCCTCTTGGAACTTTCTTGACAGATAACAAAAATATAAAGGAAAATCCACACATGTCTATTTATACAAAACAAGTCCTTGTCAGAATATTTCTTGTTTCTGTTACAGTGAGCTTAATGCTCAACTAAGGATTCTAATTACTTAAATTCCTATCCGTGGAAAATTTACATTCTTGCTCTGTTGTTTTCTCCTGATTTACATCAATTGAATACCTTTTATTGCCTCTGCCAGTTACCTGATTGAAGAATATTTTTTGCTTTTTTCCCCCCGACACAGAAAATGACTCAAGTATCAAACAGAGTAATCCCTGGTTCATTTGTCTCTCTTCATAAACATAAGCTGCAATTCCTGAAAACTGTTATCATCTCATCTCTTTTCCTATTTATATATTTTTAAGTTTTTTAAAATTTATATTATTTTATGTGTATGACTGTTTTGCCTGACTGTATGTATGTGCACATGTGTGGCCTGGTGCCTCAGGAGTTCAGAGGAGGGTGTTAGATCCCCTAAACTGGAGTTAAGGATGATTGTAACCCACCATGTGGATTCTGGGAACCAAACCCAGGTTCCCTGCAAGAGCAACAACTGCTCCTAATACCAAGCCACCTCCCTAGCCCCTCCTACTTATATTTTTGTTGTCAGTTTAAACATTCCTTTTTCTTATGTTCACTACTTACATCCTAAAGCAGAAAATAATACTGTCCTCTACTTCTATAATCCTAATCAAATTGTAATAATAAATGCATCCTCTTTAGTTAGATGGTTTAGTAAGAAACAAAGAAGAAAGTATACTTGGGGTAGGGGGGCTGGAGAGATGTCTCAGTGGTTAAAAGCAACGGCTGCTCTTCCAGAGGACCTGAATTCAGTTCCTAGCACTCACATACCGGCTCACAGCCATCTTCAACTCCAGGTCCAGGGAATCCAATGCCCTCTTCTGGACGAAGAATAGTTCTAGGTTGGGAGTGGAGAAATGACTCAATAGTTAAGAGCACTGGAGGTGATGGCTCAGTGGTTAGGAGCACTGGCTACTCTTCCAGAGGACCCAGGTTAGACTCCCAGCACCCACATAGCAACTCACAAACCATCTGTAACTCTAGTTCCAGGGGATAGGATGTCCTTTAATGGTCTCCAAGGGCACTGCACTTACATGGTGCACAGGCAGACATTCTGGTCAAAAAATAAACACCCATACACACAAAATAATATATTTTTTTTAAAAGAGCATTGGCTGCTCTTATAGAGGACCCAGTTCAATTCCTAGCACCCACATTGGTGACTGGTGGCTCACAGCTCTCTATAACTCTGGTTCCTAAGGATTCAGCTTCCTCTGGCCAGTACTGCATATCTATGGTACACATACATACATACATGCAGGCAAAACAGACATAAATATAAAATAAAAGTGTCTTCAAAGAAAAAAATAGCTCCAGGTAGAAATTTGTCTCCATGCTTTAAGCAACCAGATACAGGAAATACAAAAAATAGAGGAACCAACTCAAACTCCTGAACTTCCAACCCCCGCCTTCTCGGTGCTGGAACAAGTGTGCCTAACCACATCCAGCAATAATGCATTTTTCTTACTTTAAGAGATACACTGCTGGGGCTGTAGTCTGCTCAGCGGAGTGTGCGCACTGCTCTTGCAGAGGAACCTGGGTTCGACTGGGTTCCCTGCATTCACAACCGCCTTAAGCCGAAAAGACGCTCACCTCAACCACGTGAACACTTCCGACCCTCCAACTCCTGAAGAAGACTTAAGATCAAAACCAAATAGGAGTAAATTCTTTTCCTTTCGGGAGAAAACGGGTCGGGTGGCGCTCTCCCGCGCAGTCCGAGAAAACGCCGCCGCCTCAGCCGAGAGGCCGACCCTTGTCACCTAAGCTGCCTGCTGGACACCACCTCCGGGAAGCAAAGGAACTACAAATCCCAGAGTCCGCCCCGGAAAAGACTGAAGGCAACAACCGACAGTGTTTCCGCTTCCGGCCTAGGGCTGCAGGACCGTTTCGGGGTCCAGCTCTGGCTCCGGTTTCGTAATTTGTAAGCCGGTCAAAGACATTAGAATATCCACTCACGAAGGTGCAGTTGGCCCTTGATTAACTGACTGCAGGAAAGAGGGGCAGAAACAGACCCACAAAGTTGAGGTCACAGTTACAAGGGTGGACCGGACTGTGGGTGGGATCATCCACTAGCGGGACTCGAGTGGCAGGTCCGGGGTCAGAGAGCAGAAAGGTTAGAAGAGAGTGTGCTCGCAGGTCGTTTCCACACACCGCTCTCGAGTTGATTAGCTGTAGTGTTAAGCCTAGGGATCCATAAAATGAACTAAATCCTGTTTAATCATTCTGCCTTTTACATCATGAGTTCTCTTTTATATGGACACTGTCTTCATTCCAACAGTTGAGACCTGGAGTTTTCTGTCCTATCGGGATAGACCCAGTGCACAGGAGTCCAGACCAAGACTGATATGAAAAGACACTGGAGGTCGCTGGAGACATGAGTACTTTCCGGTTTTTTTTTTGTTTTTTTTTTTTTGTTTTTTTTTTGTTTTTTTTTTTTTTTTTTTTTTGTTTTTTGTTTTTTTTTAGACAACCCGAGTTTGGTTAGCACGTTTGACTGAGTTACTGGCTCCTGCAAATGTTAGCCTTATCAATAGACTACATTGGCAGCCAGGGTTCTGTCTCAATATATAAGGAGCTATGCTATTGAGATTGCTTCTGTCGAGCTGTGCTCCAGAACTCAAACTGTTATGTTGTCCAAGCAGACCAGCTATGTGAAGAAGGCCACTCCAGTTGTGCTCTCCTGAACACATGGAATTGTCCTTTGACAAAGCTGAGGAGAGTGGATTCCTCTACTGTAGACCTCATGGCAGGACTAGAGAAAACAGATTCCTCACACCCTGTAGTACCTTAGGCTCTGGCCTTCACCAACCCAGTGTATCATATTAAATATTGATCAATAGAGACTAGAAAGATAGCTAAACAATATCTCTTACTGCTCTTGCAAAGGACCTTGGTTCCATCCCCAGCACCCATCAGGCAGCTCACAACTCCCTGTAACTCCAGCTCCAGGGTATCTTATGTGCTCTTCTGGCATCCTTGGGGACCTACATATGTGTGATGCAGGTACACACATGTACATCTAAAATATAAATCTTTTTAAATGAATTATTAGGAAAAATAATTGTATAATTAGTTCTCAAAATAAAACAAATGGCCAATAAACACATGAAAAAATGTTCAAAATCCTTGGCTATCAGGGATTTAAAAAAAAAAAAAAAACAGCCGGGCGGTGGTGGCGCACGCCTTTAATCCCAGCACTCGGGAGGCAGAGCCAGGCGGATCTCTGTGAGTTCGAGGCCAGCCTGGGCTACCAAGTGAGTTCCAGGAAAAGGCGCAAAGCTACACAGAGAAACCCTGTCTTGAAAAAACAAAAAAAAACAAAACAAAACAAAACAACAAAAAAAAAAAACCTTCACTAAGATTCCCTCTGCCCCCTTTCAGAATGGTTTCTCCAAGAAAAGAAAAAACAAGACGTGGTATGGGTGAGGTGGGCCACAATCCTTATACACTGTTGGTGAGAACAGAAGTAAGTATGGAGGTTGCCCACACAACCGAAAGCAGAACTATGATGTGATTCAGCTGTACCATTCCTGGGTATATACCAAAGGAAGCAAGTCAGCACATGATACAAATGTCTGCACACCCATGTTAACAGTAACACTATTGAAAGTAGTCAAGTTAAAAAATCAGCTTAGTTGTTCATTAATAAACAGACTGAGATGGCTCAGCAGCTAAGATTGCTTTTCCGCGGGACCAGAGTGGTTCCCAGCACCACTGTTGGGTGGCTCAGAACATATAACTACAGCTCAAGGAATTCCAATACCACCTTCTAGCCCCCTTGGGCACCCCAACACAGGGGGAACACATATGTACAATGATAAAATGGGGGGGAGGACACTTGATACACAGAATGGAGCTTTATTTAGTCACAAAGAAAAAATAATTAGGTAATTTGGAGGGAAAGTGATGGAACTAAAATGCATACTAAACAAAATAAGTCAGACCCAGAGTGACAAATACTGTATTTTCTCTCATCCACAGAATTAAAAAAAAAAAATTAAAGAGATGAAAATAGAGAAAATGAGGCTTTAGGGGAAGGAACCCAACAGAAAGAAGACAACACAAGGTAAAGGTATGTGTGAATATGAGCAAAATGTACTTTATACACATCTGAATGTTAATGTAGCTCTGAAAATAGTGTTCTTGCCTAGCATGCATGAAGTTTCAGGTTCAATCCTCAACACCACACACTCCTTAGGAACCACAGCACACTGGGGGCAGAGATAGGATTGAAAGTTAAAGGTCATCCTTTACCACATGACAAGTTTGAGGACAGTCTGAAATACATGAGACCCTATTTCAAATACATGTGCACACACACACACACACACACACAACAACAACAACAACAACAAAACAAACATGAAAGGAACCTAAACACTTTTCCTAAAACACGTCAAGTGGCCAACAAGTGTGTAAATGGGTGCTTGAGAGGCTGGAGTGTAGTCCAGCAGTTCTGAGCACTTACTATTCATACAAAAGACACAGGTTTAATTATCAGCACCCAAATTAATTAGCTCACAATATCCTGTAACTCCAGTTTTCAGAAGATCTAACACCTTCATCTGACTGCACATACAAGTGAGAACACATACATACACGTTAAGTTATGTGGGTTCTGTATCATGTGTCAAAATTCCTAACAGAGGCAATATTTAAGGGAGGAAAGGTTTGAAGTCATGGATTCAGAGAGCAAAATCTACTGTGACAGGAAAAGCATGGTAGCTGGAATGGTTATGTGGCAGCAGGAGTTTGTGGTAGAGACTGTTCACATCTTGACAGATCAAAAAGAGAGGTGGACCAAAATGGTTGGCAGGTACAACCTTCAAATACCCATCCCTACCCACAGCCTTCTAGAACAGTGGCACCAGCTGGGAGAGACCGTATGTACAAACACATAGAATTTTAGGGGATATTTCACTTTCAAAGCATACTAGTTTCGAACAAAATTCAAAATTATACTAATCTGGCTTCAATTATACTATATTGGCTACTCTTCTAGAGGACCTGGGTTCAATTCCCAGCAGCCACATAGAGGCTCATAACCATCTATAACTCCAGTCACAGAGGACCTGATGCCTTCTTCTGACCTTTTTGGGCAACAGGCATGTACCTGGTGCATACACATACACACAGGCAGTATATACACATATAAACAAACAAAACAGCTAAGCAGTTGTGGTGCATACCTTTAATCTCAGCACTTGAGAGGCAGAGGCAGGTGGATCTCCAATTTAGAGGCCAGCCTGGTCTACAAAATGAGTTCCAGGATAACCCTCTGCAATATCTCACACTTGGAATCTAAAGAATAAACTGAAGTCACAGAAGTAAACTACAACAGTGGCTGCCAGTGGTTAAGGTTTAAGAGAAATAAGAAGATAACCATTTAAGAATGCAGACTTTCTGAGTAGCACCAAGACAGCATATTCACCACTGTGACAACAAGGAACAATAATTTACTGTCACTGAAAATTGGCTAAGACATTAGGTGTTGGTAAAGTGGGCTGTTTTAGTTCCTGACAAACAAAGACTCTGTAAAGCCTAAGATGGACTTTCCTGGTTACACTCCAAGAGAGAAGTCCCTGCCACATCAATCACCATTCTCTAAGATATATATAAGCATCTGTTCTGAGGGCCTATGGAACTCTGTTTTCTAGTTTGCTAAGACATTAGGTGTTTTCATATCAAATATAAAACATAACTCAGTGGGCCAGCAAGTTGGCTCAGCAGGTAAAAATGCTTACCTCCAAGCCCAACCACCTGAGTTCAATTCCCAGGACCCACAAGGTGAGGAGAAAGCCAGTTCCTGAGTTGTCCTCTCATCTCCACACACATGATGTTGTCCACCCACACCCCAAATAAATAAATGCAATTTTAAAAAAAACTATGTCAGGTGAGGAATATATTCAATAGTTTGGATCTAGATTCAGTAAACAAAATTAGTGCCACTATTAATATAATGCAGTATTATATTAATACTTAATGTATCTTTAAGGCAGAATTGTAAGCTAGAGGTGTCTGGACTATACAATGAGACCCTCTCTCAAGAACTAAATAAACTCAACCTGCCTAAGAATTATTTTAAAAGTAAAGCTTGTAAGTCTAATGTGAAATTTCTCATAATGTACACTGTGAAATTAAACACAAAGCATTCCCTGACTCTTAGATTGAATGTTATGTATAGATTTATTAGATCCACTTGGTCTCAAGTCTACTTCAAGTAGTTTCCTTAGTGATTTTAAGACCCAATGTTAATATGACTTCAGCATTGAAGAGAGAACTAAAACAGTCTTACATTCTCATCATAACACTATTTCTCTCTACATATATACTAATATTTGCTTTCCACACTTGGGTGTTCTATTTCAGGGATCATATCTTTACAACCATATCACCCTTACAATAAAGAGATAGACCTTTTTCGATCTATTTATGCCCTAACATAAAATGAGTCACTTATTGGAAGCACAGAGAAGTCTTTCTATACATTATCAGCCAAGCACAGTGGGCCATTACTGAAGCCATAACACTTGAGAGGTTAATGCAGGAGGATCATTAGTTTGAGGTCAGTTTGCACTACACAGTGAATTCAAGGCCAAGCCTAAACTACATAGCAAGACCCTGTCACAAAAACAAATAATGAAAAATTATTATTTAAGACAATTTCAATCTCCTGGTCATTTTCACAAAGTAACTTTTAAAAGGACCACACAAACTGTGATCAAGAATGAGTTGCAAAGATGATTTATGCAAATAAATAAATGTGATACACTGAATAACAAAGTGAAAAAAAAACTGTATTGCAGAAAATGTAAAGAATCATGTAACAACAGAATATCAACTGATGGTGACAACAGTCAATAAATTAGATAGAAATGTACTTAATTATAATGGAAGCATATGAAAAACTAATACAGTTATCATTCAGTGTTACAAAGCTCAAACTTGTCAAGGACAGGCATAACTACCTTTCCATCTTTTATTCAGCAAATACTGGGGAAAGCCTAGCTGAATCAATTAGGATAAGAAAAGAAAAAAGTCACCCAAGGAAAGAAACTTGTTTCAGGTGATAGGGTGTCAATACAGAAAATTACTCTGTGAACGAAATTTTAAGAAACTCATAAAAGTTCAATAATTTTCAAATCAACACAAAGTGTCTACACACTACAAATTTAAAAAGCAAAAATATTATACACCCTATAAAACTGCATAAAACGATACAGAATAAAATTAAATGGAAAATCTAAACCACTATGAACAAGACTATAAACACTGGCAAGGTATCCCATGCACACTGAGAGAATCACCACTATTAGAATGTCCTTCCTACCCAAAGTGCTTTGTAGATTTATTGCCATCACATTAACAATTCCAACAGCATTTCTCACAGGCTTATGAAAAAATTCCCAAGTCATAAGGAACCAAAACCTTTCAAATTAGGCCAAAGACTTAAATAAAAACAAAAATTTTAGGTTTAACAATGTATTACAGGGTTGGAGATGAAGCTCAGTTAGTAGAGAGTTCACTTCGCATGTGTGAAGTCCCAAGTTTGATACCCACGCACTGAACCAAAAACAAAACAAAACAAAAACAATGAATGTGGTGGTGCATACCTGTAATCCTACCACTGGGGAGGTAGAGGCAAGAAGATCAAAAGTCCAAGGTCATTCTTGACCATTTAGTTAATTTCAAAGCCTAAGTTCCATGAGACCTTGTCTCAAGGAATAATTAAAAAAAAAAAAATACAAAGGCAGTAATCGAACAGTACAATAGTGATACAAACAACATAACAAAATAGTTTAGATAAAACTTATAGTCATTGCTAGGCATAGTGGCACATAACTTTAATCCCAGCACTCTGAAAGGCAGAGAGACAGGTGGATCTTCATGAGTTTGAGGCTAACCTGGTCTACTTAGCAGGCCAACCAGAGCTACAGAGAGAGAATAACTCAAAATCAAAACGACAACAAAAACCTTATATAAGCCCGGTGGTGGTGGTGCTCGCCTTTAATCCCAGTACTTAGGAGACAGAAGCAGGCGGATCTCTGAGTTTGAGGACAGTCTGGAATACAGAGTGAGTTCCAGGACAGCCAGGGCTACACAGAGAAACCCTGTCTCAACAAAAAACAAACCATAAAACCAAAAAAAAAGTCAAAACAAAACCAAAACTCTTATACAGTCAAAATAATTTCAACAATGAATTTAGAACTATAGCTTGAGGGTAGAGCACATACCTAGCATTCATGAGGTCACAAGTTCAATTCCAAGCACCAAAACACAAATGTTGATAACCAAATTTTCAACAAAATTATCATAATATTAAAAAGGATTTCGAAAGAAATAAAAGAAAGAAAAAAATGGATAGGCAAGCAAAATAAGTGCACCACTAACTATGGGGTGTGTGTGTGTGTGTGTGTGTGTGTGTGTGTGTGTGTGTGTGTGTGTGTGTAGTGATATAAACTCAGAGGTCAAGGAAAAAAGGAAATAAAATTAAATAATAGCAAAAGAAATACAGTTAAGTTGGGTAGGCTGGTTCATACCCCAAAATCACAGCACTCAGGAGGCCTAGGGAAGAAATACTGCGGCAAGTTTAAGTCTAGCCTGGTCTACACAGTAAATTCCATGCTATTTTAGATTACATAGTAAGATCACCTCCAACAAACAAAACCCTGAAAATAAAATCTAAAACTGTGACACAATAAAACTCTAAAAAGAATGCTTCCTGACATACCAGCATAGAATTTTGGAGCAGACATGAAGAATTAGGGCAACATCAAACTGAAGATTTTGCAAAGCAGAGCAGAAAACAAATCTGAAAAGGCATGTACACAGATGGAAAAATATCTGCAAACCATATATACTACAGTGGGGTCTGTGTCTAAAATATAGTAACTCAGGTAACTTCACAGCAAAATACATTGATCTTGAAATTAACTGAAATTAATATTTTAGCAAAGACATACAAATGACTTATAGATTAGGAAGAATCAAATACCATCTCATATTTTAAAATGGCACATAGAAAAAGTAAAAGATAAACAATAAACTGATAGTCATTACAGAATAGTACAGACATACTGAATTAAAAGTACATTTATCGTTACTATAACAAACCCATTTTGGGGATTGTGTCTGAGGGCATAAGATCATTAATTTAAAGAGACAGCCACACTCACATTCATGCAGCAATACTCCCAATAGCCAAGGTATGGAATAAGTATCCATAAACATACCAAAGGATAATTAAATGTCTTAAAATGAAATAACTGACCATAACACAGCTCTACCTTGAGGACATCATATAAACTAACAGAAGCCATATAGAGAGCTAGGCATGATGGCACATGCCTGAAACTCCAGCACTAAAGTCTGAGGCAGAAAGGTAAGTTTGGGGTCAGTTTGAGCTACAAAGTAAGATCCTGTCACAAAAAAATAAAAAACCTAGGTAGTTAATAAAGATGCTACATGACTTAACAAATAGAGTCTAAAGAAAACCTGAACTCTAATCAGAGAATGAGATAATGGCTACCAGAGACTGGGAACTCAAATAAAGGGGTTGTATTGGTCAGATCCAACCTACTTGAACACTATGTAAAAACACAGTGATTTCAGTGCTAGTAAAGTATATACTTAAGATAGTGGACAGAGCCAGGTATGGTGGCTTGTACCTGTAATCTCAGCACTCAGGAGTCTGAGCCAGGAATGCCATGAAGTCAAGACCAGTCTAAGCTACATGATTTTCATACTAGTCTAGGTCACAAAGTAAGACTGACTTGAAAAAAAGACAAAAGGGAGGGAAGCAGACAGTGCAGAGGGTGTGCATGGCACAACAAATAAAATAACAAGTAGTGAGTAGATGAGCGTTTGTGTTCATTAGTTCACAATGCCAACATGGGACATATACGAGACACTAGGTATAAACAATAGTTTTCAATCATACAAATAGGAATATTTTAAAAAGGAAAACCTATAATGGAATTTAGAAATTTATAATTGAAGTCATAAAAATACACAAATATAGAAATATTCAAAGTTCATCTAGAAGCACCCAGGAAATCTATGTGTTGCCATCCAAATGAAGCAAATCCCCTATTACACATATGTAGTTTGTGTTCAGTCTGTAAACACCACATAAAGTCAAATGTAAAAAGTTATTTCCCAAACTTCAGATTTTTTTCTCAACTGTGAGATCACAAGTGAACAAAGAAACTTAAAATCTATGACATTTCTATATGTCTTGCATCAACACACATGGAAACACTAAAGGTTTTCATTTCCTATACTACAAACCTTGACTGAGTTCACATATCGTGAGATTTTGATCTCTCCCATGATCCTTAAACTCAGAGCATCCTCAGAATGAGTTTTTACAGCAAATAGTGAAAACTGAATGCTTTCATACATTGCTTATTATATTAATAAAACTTGTATAGACCAAATTCTGATTGCAAAAGATTGATCAAGGGCCTCCAGAACAATTTTCTGAATCCCTTACATTCAAAGGTTTTCCCCCCAATGGGGATTTTCATGTTTATTAGCATCAGCAGAAGTAGTGAAGGCTTCCCCGCATTCCTTATATTCATATGGTTTCTCTCCTGCATGTTTCCGTAAATGTTTATTAAGGCCTGAGTGCTCTGTAAAGGCTTTTCCACAGTACTGGCATACATAGGGTTTCTCTCCAGTGTGAATTCGCATGTGAACTCGAAGGTACGAGGACCATAAAAATGACTTTCCACATATTATACACTGAAAAGGCTTCTCTCCAGTGTGAGTTCGCATATGAACGGGAAGATAAGAAGAACATGTAAATGTTTTTCCACATACAGTACACTGAAACGGCTTTTCTCCAGTGTGAATTTTCAAATGCACATTAAGATAAGAGGAAGAAGCAAAGGCTTTCCCACAGTGGTCACATTCAAAGGGTTTCTCTCCTTTGTGACTTCTTATATGTGCAATAAGGCCTGAGGAAGTGCTAAAGGCTTTTCCACATTCTTGGCATGCATAGGACTTTTCGCCAGTGTGATTTCGTAAATGTATAGTAAGGCCTGAACGAGCAGTGAAGTCTTTCCCACAGTAAGTGCATTTATAGGGTTTTACTCCAGTGTGAATTCGAAAGTGGGTCTCAAGGGATGAAGAGTTTCTAAAGGATTTTGTGCACACCTTACACTGAAAAGGTCTCTCAGAACTGTGAGTTTTCATGTGTACAGTAAGTTGAGCAAAACTAATAAAGCCTTTCCCACATTCCTTACATTCATAGGGCCTTTCACCAGTATGTGTTCTTATGTGTTTAGTAAGGCATGAGCGCTCAGGGAAAGTTTTCCCACATTCTTTACATTCATATGGTTTCTCTCCGGTGTGAGTTCGCATATGAATACGAAGATAAGAAGATCGTGTAAATGTTTTGTCACACTGATTACACTCAAAGGGTTTCTCTCCTGTGTGAGTTCTTAAATGTCCAACAAGAGATGAGGAATGAGCCAAGGCTTTCCCACACTGGTAACATTCAAAGGGCTTCTCTCCTGTATGAATTCTTATATGTTCAACAAGGCCAGAGGATGTACTGAAGGCTTTCCCACACTCCTTACACTCATAGGGTTTCTCACCATTGTGAATTAGTACATGCTTAGTAAGGCCTGAACGTGCTGTGAAGTCTTTCCCACAGTAATTACATTTGTATGGTTTTATTCCAGTGTGAATTCGAAAGTGGGTCTTAAGGCATGAGGAATTTCTGAAGGTCCTTGCACATACCTTACACCGAAAGGGCTTCTCACCAGTGTGAGTTTTTATATGTTCAGTTAGTTGAGCAAAGCTGGTGAAGGCTTTCTCACATTCTGTACATGGATAGGGCCTCTCACCAGTATGTTTTCGTAAGTGTATAGTAAGCCAAGAACGGCCACTGAACGCTTTCCCACATACTTTACATTCATAGGGTTTTTCTCCTGTGTGAGTTCGTATGTGACCTAACAGGTAAGAAGAACGTGTAAATGCCTTCCCACATATGTTACACTCAAAGGGCTTCTCTCCAGTATGAGTTCTCAAATGCGTAGTAAGGTAAGAAGAAGATGCAAAGGCATTCCCACACTGGTCACACTGATATGGTTTCTCTCCTGTATGACTTCTCATATGTTCTGTAAGGCGTGAGGGTTGAATAAAGGTTTTCCCACATTCCTTGCACTCATAAGACTTCTCTCGCGTGTGTTGTCGTAGATGTACAATTAAGCTCGAGCGCTCAGTGAAGGCTTTCCCACATTCCTTACAGTCGTAGGGTTTCTCCGAGGTGTGGCTTTGCATATGGATATTAAGGTAGACAGGATGTGTAAAGATTTTTTCACACTTCTTACATTCATAGTATTTTTTTTCAGTGGGAATTACAACATGATCGTCATGGCTTATAGGATGAGTAAAAGCTTGCTCACACTGCTCTGATTTGTGAAGATTCTTTTCACTATGAGAAGAACTATGTGCCTGCAGTTCTAACTGATTAACGAAAGTTTTCCCACATTCGCAGCACTCAAAGGATTTTTTCACAGTGCACATTTTCTGGGAAACATCTGGAGTCACGGTGAAGGGTTTTACACACTGGTTCAACTGAAGAATGTTCTCTTCGGTAGAATTTTCTTTCAGTGGTGGCACAAAGTCTTTTCCATACAAATTACACTCTGAAGTGTTCTCTGTATTTGAAGTACTTATGTGAGTCTCAGGGCATGAATCTTCACTGAAAACTGTTCCAACTTGTATAGAGTCACCAAGCACCCCTCTATTGTGTTCTCTTCCCTATTGATAAAGGGTAAAAAGATGATTAAAGGATTTTTCAGGCTTGTATAGGAATGTATACTTGTGGGAATTCTGATGCACTAATTTATGCTGAACATGTTGGTTTACTACTGTAATCCCAACACTCTGGAGGCTAAAGCAAAAGTCACAAGTGAAGGCCATTTTAAGTGCTAATGAGCCCCTCTCTGATAAAAGGAGTAAACAGAAAAGGAGGGAAAAAGAAGAGTTCCGCCGGGCGGTGGTGGCGCACGCCTTTAATCCCAGCACTTGGGAGGCAGAGGCAGGCGGATCTTTGTGAGTTCAAGGCCAGCCTGGTCTAGATGAGCAAGATCCAGGAAAGGCGCAAAGCTGCACAGAGAAACCCTGTCTCGAAAAACCTAAAAAAAAAAAAAAAAAAAAGAAGAGTTCCCTTGCCTGTGATAGCTATTTCTGTCAAATATCTTTCATTTATATCTATTTTTATTAAAGAATTCCTAATCTTCCCTGAAATTGGACAATAAGAAATACCCTTGTTCCCCCAAGGAGTTATATCAACCATGCTCCAGGAATGGCCCTATATACACCAAGGAAGTTTGGTTAGCACAAATTCAAATTGACAGACTATTTATATTCTTAAAAATGAATGTAGAGTTGGGGTGGAGAAGTGAAGGTGAATCTTGGAGGACTTAGGAGAAGTGGGAGTTGATTATTATCAAAATACATTATATGAGATATTCTCAAAATTTAAAAAAAAAAAAAGAAAGAAAAAGAAATATTCTGGGGCTGGAGAGCTGGCTCAGAGGTTAAAAAGCACTTGCTGCTCTTCCAAAGGACCCAGGTTAGTTTCCCAGAATCCACACGGCAGCTCACAATTGTCTATAACTCCAGTTTCAGGGAATCAGATGCCCTAGTCTGTTCTCCAAAAGCACCAGATATGCACATGATACACAGACTTATGTGCAGGCAAAGCACCCATAAACATAAAAGAAAAGCAAATTTCATTTGTGAGCCTTACCAGTTGCATTCCATTTGACACATCTGACCAAAATATATCCTGCTGAAGTGCTGTCCCTTTTGTCTTAAGGTGCATTTCCCATTCTAAAGTGAAACCAGAAAACATATATAAGGATTTGCACAACAAATGGAAAGTTCAATTTTTAAAAACAGGCAGAAACCCATCTCATGTGGCCAGGTGTGGTGGTACACACCTTTATGGAGGAAAGGCAAGCAGATTTCTGAGTTCAAGGTCAGCCTGTTCTGTAAGTTGAGTTCCAGGCAAGAACTTCATTTATATTTTTTTCATATTGAAACACATTAAACAATAAGGCAAAGAGAGATTAAAGCATCTAAATCTAAAATATGGCAAACATAGGATATGGTGTCAAAGCTGTAATAATTAAGTTTTTTTACTAAAATTAAATGGGATGGTAAATAAAATAGAGAAAAGGAAAAAAAAGATACATCACAGATGCTATACATTAGCTTTTTCTATTAAAATTAAATTGTGTTCCAAGGACCTCAGATTCAAGGTGGTCCTTCTAACAGTTCCCTTAACACACTTCCAAGCATAAGGAACTTGACAATGACAAGAAATGTTTTCAACAAATACTAACCTTGGAGAATTCCTTGCTCCATTATTGTCAACTCTACTTTCCGCTCCAACCAAGAGATCAGGCTAGGTTTGAACAACTGACCTCCTAAACAGAGACAAATACATCAATGGAAAAGTCTCATAAACTCCCCAATGATAGAAAAACACATTTCTCAAGAAGTATTTAAAATTATTAACAGCTCAGAATACAAATATTTATGCTATTGGTGACTAGAAGTTTTCTGTGACCCACCAAACCCACATTCATAACTAAATGCACATTTAAAAACACTAGTGAGGACCAAGTCTGTTGATGTAATCTCATCACTCACAAGGCTGAGGCAAGAGGATCAAGACTTTCCGGCCAATGATGGCTACAAGGCTAAATAGTGAGACCTGTCTCAAGCCAAAAAAATGGCTGAAGTAGAGTGTGGTGATATTTTGTTTGTGACCTAACAAATAAAGCTTGCCTGAAGATCAGAGGGTAGAGCTAAGCCACTAGTTAGCCATAGAGGCCAGGCAGTGGTGGCACACACCTTTAATCCTAGCATTTGGGAGGCAGAGGCAGACGAATCTCTTGAGTTCAAAGCCTCCCTGAGCTATACAAGATTGATCCAGTCTAAAAGAGAAAGAGCCAGGCAGTGGCGGCACACACCTTTGATCCTACCCTTGGAATCTCACACCTTTAATTACAGCACTAGAGAGGTGGAGACAAGAAGTGATATGGCTGGGCAAAGAGAGGAATATAAGGCAGGAGGAGATAGGAGCTCAGCTCCCTTTCAGGCTGAGAACTCAGTAGAGGTAAGAAATGGCTGTGGCTTCCTCCTCTGTCTCTCTGTTCTTTCAGCATTTACCCCTATATCTGATTCCGGGTTTTTATTAAGACAATTAGGATTTGTACTATAGTAGAGCACTTGCCTAGACTGTATAAGGTCCTAAATTTAATCCCACTACTGCCCATAAACAAATAAATACTATTAATGGCATGTAATTGTCCTATGCTTCCATTATTAATGAAAATTCTATGCTTAAAAAAATGTAAAATAAAATGCACTAAATTATTTCTTTCAATATGATCTAGTATAAGTAATTAAAGTTTTATGAAGTTACTACCACCCCTACTCCCCGGAGATACAAATCAAACCCAAGGCCACATATGTCTAAACAAGCACTCTACCACAAAGAAACATACCCAGCCACGGGTCTTCATTCTTATATGGAAAAAATGATAGCACCAGTCCTTCAGAAACAGATTCACAAAAATTGTTAAAATAAAAACAACAGCCAGGTGTGATAGAGCACATCTGTAATCTCAGCTATCAGATGACTGAGGTAGAATGCTGAGAGCTTGAAGTCAGCTAGAGTTATAGAGTAAGACCCTGCCATAGAACAAAAATCAGAAAGAGAAAGAATCTCAAAATAACACTATTAGTATAGTAATAGTGATGCTACTAACCATGATTTAGTTGAGAACTACCATGGTGGGATAATTATATTAAGGAAAGGATTTAATCTGCTATTTCTCACTGTTTTCTGAGCTGATAACACATTCTAGAACACTATTTGTTATCTTATGAATCTAGAACAAATGATGGCAGTCTCACCTACTGTGGCCAGGTTCTGGTAGTTCTCCAGCATCACATCTCTGTAGAGATTTCTCTGAATAGGATCCAGTGAAGTCCACTCTTCCTGGGTAAAGTCCACAGTCACATCTTCAAAGGTCACTGCATCCTGAACCATCACATAAACACCAACTTGAGCAAAGTAAACATCATCTATGCTCACTGGAGAATGACGAAGTAAAATCCATGCCTATAAAGGAGTATGAGGTCCCCATAATCTATCTCAAGTCTCAGTATTTCTAGAGCATTTCTCTGTCTACACTCACTCTATACACCTTTTATACTCATGGATCTTGGCACCTCTTACAAATAAACTTACACTGCCACAATTACACAGGGAACTCTATTCATCCTACCCCCTATGCTGTGACACGCTCCCAAGCATTTCAAACTTGTTATGTGATTATAAATGAATTTACTTCTTTAAAAACGGAGATTTTCATCTTTATCATTTGTCAGAACACATAAAATAATAAATATTTAAACACTAACAGAAGTCAAGACACATGACTACTAAAATACTGAAATATTTTCAGGGTAATCCCTCACCTAAATATGTGCCTTTGGGGAAAATCAGTCATGGCATGGGTTTTTGGTTTGCAATCAGTCATGGCATGGGTTTTTGGTTTGCTGATTTGTTTTGCTGTGAGGGCAAGTCTATCTATGAGAAAATGTCTTCCTGGCCAATTTCACATTAACTTTAGATCCTCTAATACTCCTCTTCAGAGTACATAATAAGAGATCATTCCTTCTACCAAGAAACCCATTTCTCTTCATGTCCTGACTTCTTACAAAGAAAATTATCAATCCTGGCTAAGTGCATAAAATAGGAAATAAACTTTTTGTTGAACTTACCACCTGCTGAGTCTCCATGAAGGTATGTCTTGTCAAAAAATCCTGCTCTAGTGCTAAATCTTTGGTTTGTAGTTGTTTTTCCAATTCTGGAATTGAACCCACAAAATAAGATTAGATTTAAATAACAGAACAGTATAACAAGTTAAAAGTATCTCCATGGTTTTCTAAATAAACCTGGTAAGCAAACTAAAGATTTAGAGGAAATTTTGCTAAATATAATTCTGTTAAAACTAATACATGGTAATAAAACAAAAACTTGTCACCAAAGAGAAAAAGGAAGAAATATCATGAAAGTACAGCACAGTATGATGATGCACACCTACAATCCCAGCACACACAAATCTAAGGCTGGAGAATCAACTATTTAAAACTACACCATAATAGAGAGAGAGAGACAGAAAGAGAGCGAGAGAGAGAGAGAGAGAGAGAGAGAGAGAGAGAGAGAGAGAGAGAGAGAGAGAGAGAGAGAGAGCGCAAGCAAGCATGCATTTGAGGCAAATCCCAGGAGACTGTTTTACCAACACAGAGAGAGAGAGAGAAAGAAAGAGACAGAGAGAGAGAGAGAGAGATGAAAAAAAGAAAAGTTCATAAAACAATGAGCTTGGCACTCCAGGAGGCAGTCAGAGGCAAGTGAATCTCTTGCCTCGAGTTCAAGGCTGGCCTAGCATACAAAGGAAGTTCCAGGCCAGTCAGGGACAAACAGTAACTTAAAAAACCAACAAAACAAAAAAAGATAATGAACTTGAAACATAAAATGCTATCTCATTAGACCTAACTCCTCAGAGGTCTGCTAGTACTTATTCCTGTTTGGGGAAGAGGAATATGGTCAGTGTCTCCTGTAAGTGTATACAAGGTTTCACTTGAATCTTGAATTAAGGACAGTGGTTAAATCAGAATGATAATAACTAAGTTGCATTCATACATTATGGTGTTGAAGTAATTAATTAATTTTAAGCCATACTTTATTTTTTAAGATAATTTTGATCTATTTTGTCCAATATGAAAATGAAATTTTTAAGGAGGAATAATTAAGCTTGAAATTTTTAATTAAGGTTTTTTCCTATGAAGGTGGTTGATTTTAGAATTTGAATTGCTAATGTACTCTGTACATTTTACTTAGATAATTATCTGATAGTCTTATCCTCTGTTTAAATCTTATTTATTTAGCGTACACATTAAAAATAACTTCTGGGAAAAAAATGCTATCTCATTAGATCACGGGATTTGGGGGAGACAAAAAGTGACAACAGGAAGACTGATGATGATACACGCCACTGTCACTGTTGTTCTTCACAAGCACTCACCGGGAAGAACTTCTCTCTGTGTGCTCGCCAATTCTTCTTTCAAACAAGTCAAAGCACTGGGTTTGGTAAGGGTCTGACATCCTATACATAGAAAAAGTTGCATTAACAGGAGATGACAAACTTTTCTATGATTCAGTCTATGATACATTTGGGTCTCAGGTAGCCCAGGCTAGCCCCTCAAACTTGCAAGCATACTAGGATTACAGGCATGCACAATCAAACCCAGCTTTTGGTCTACAATTCTAATAAAAGCAGTAATTATTTCAAATGGACCAAAAAAGACAAAGCCTTATCCCATGATCCCAAGGATTTCTGACCACTGAAATACAAATCAATTTCGTATTTGTATTTCTGAAGCTCTAGCAATTTAATCAAACAGACAAAAATTAATCAGAGTAATATTTGCTAGGCAATAAAGTAGACCATTAACTTATTATAGTTCATCTAATTCAGATAAAGTCGTTAAGACAAATAGAACACTAACTAGAAAGTACTATTCAATAAATCAAAGATGGCAACAAGAACATACATTTCAACAGAACTAGATGATACACATTTTAAAAACCACCAGAGTGGGCCATCAAGATAGTTCATTGGGTAAAAGTTTCCCATGTAACACTGACAATCTTAGTTCAATATGCAGAACCCACATCTTCACTGACAACATCACACTTGGGAAGATGAAACCTCAACTGAAGAACTGACTCCATCAGATTAGCCAGTGGACATGTTTTCGGAACCTTTGATTGCTAATTGATACAAAAGGGCCAGGTCTGTGTAAGAAAAGTAGATGAGCAAGTCAGAAGGAGTAAGGCAGGGTTCCTCCATGGTTTTTGTTTCAGGGTCTGCCTACAGGTTCCTGCCTTGGCTTCTCTTGATGGACTATAACCTTAAGCCAAATAAACCTTTTCCTCCCCCAGTTGCTTATTTACTCTGTTTTATCACAGCAACAGGAAGCAAACCAGGACACCAAATATTAAAAAGTCAGATGCAAAGGCAGACATCTGTAATCCCAGCCCCGGCACTCCTAGAATGAGATAAGAAGCAGAAAAAGGAGAACTGGCCACAGTGCAGCGGCAGAAATGAGAATGAACCTTCCTCCCACAAGATGGGAGCAGAGAACTGACTCCCTGTGTGTTGTCCTCTGATTTCCACATGGGTGTTGTTGGCACATGTGCACCTGCACTCACACACACAAAACAATAAAAATAGATAAATCTTGTTTTTGTTTTTCTAGACAGTTTCTCTGAGCAGCCCTGGGTTGTCCTGGAACTCACTCTGTAGACCAGGCTAGCCTCAAACTCAGAGATCCACCTGCCTCTGCCTCCCGAGAGCTGGGATTAAAGGTGCATGATCATCACCACCTTAAATCTTAAAAAAAAATTCTACAGTGTGCTAGGCATGCAGCTCAGTAATGAAGCACACACATAGCAGTTATGAGACACTGGAGTTTACTATAAATCCCCATTAAACTAATATTGTATGTTTAAATATTTTTGAAGAGAAACTGTTGTCACTGTTATCTTATTGGATTTGGCAAAGATCCTAAACATACTAAGTACATAATATGTGCCTGCTCCACATGAAGCATCTGTCATATGAGAATAACTACCAACTTACCTACAGAGGCCAGGTTTTTATAGTCCTCCACTGTCACATCACTGGGTATGATGTTCTGAGCTGGATCCTTTGTAGTACACTCCTCTTGAGTGAAATCCACAGCACCATCCTGAAAGGTCACCAAATCCTAAACCAGCCATACATGCTTGCTTCAACCAAGTTAATATCCCCACCAATCATCCCAGGAGACTAAGGATAGGGAACTCAATGCCTATAGAGAGAGCTGCAAGTTCTCCCATTGCCTACCCTGGGGTTTGAGGGCCCTAGACTAGGCTTCTCTGTATTCACACTCACACTCTGTCCATCTACTCTAATCATAGAACTTTAATGACACATTTCAAACATTTTCACCTCACCACACTGACCTTTCTGTCTTCCCTCTTTTTTAATAACATTCTTGGACATACTGTATAAATGGGGTAAATATGAAAAACAAAGTCTTTGAGAAAATGATACTTTCACTTTCTTACTATTTTTCAGAACACTGTACAAAACAAACTGGCAGTTGGCACCACAGGGTCAAGACTATAACAACACATAACAGCAGTGTGAAAAAGCTCCTCTCCCGTGGTAATTAGTCTTTGTCAGGGGCTTTATTCCCTTTGATAATCCCTGGAGACAAGTTGGTCTGCATGGAAAGATGTATACCTCTACATGTAATGATGTCAGTTTGTGGAACTTCTTCATACCTTATTAGAGCTTTTCAGGCAATCAACCAGTATGCTTTCTCCCTCTGTTTCTTCCCCTTGACTGCAGACTTGGTCCCCAGAAAGCAGACTTCCTAGAAAAAGATACAACAATCCAGAGCTGCCAAAAAGCCCACATTCACTGTGAGATGGGAGTTCATCTGTTTGCAATTAATACATAACTCATTTCACTCAGATAATTTGCAAATATAACTCTGGTAACCTACAATGCCACAGCAATTCTTACATCAAGGAGACACAATGGTGAACTGTCTTGCCTACCAAGAAAAGAACATTAGTTTTGCTTTAACGCCAAGAAATGTAAGTTCTGAGAAACGTAACTCTAAATTTTCCTGATGACAAAAATCAGTAATGAATTATGCAGTACCCGTTCCCAAGCACATTCTAGAGGGCTCATATACAAAACAGCCCTCTTTAGCCTACCTCAGCCCTCCAGAACAGAATGGCAGACCTCTGGCTCTACACTGTGTAGGAGGGACCTACAACAGATTCAAACACAGCAGCAACAGGACTTACCACAGGACAAACTGGTAATGTCCATCCTTTGACTAATGGTAAAATGTATACACAAATTCTTCTGTGACTCTAAGGACACGTCAGGGAAACTTATACATCGAGGCGGAAAATGACGATATTCATTTCTCTTTAATCTGCATGAATCAAAAAGCAACACTTAGCCGGGCGGTGGTGGCGCACGCCTTTAATCCCAGCACTCGGGAGGCAGAGCCAGGCGGATCTCTGTGAGTTCGAGGCCAGCCTGGACTACCAAGTGAGTTCCAGGAAAGGCGAAAAGCTACACAGAGAAACCCTGTCTCGAAAAACCAAAAAAAAAAAAAAAAAAAAGCAACACTTGGCAGTCATCAGACATCATATATTAGCTCTCTGCAGGTAAGATATTGAAACCACTAAAAATGTATACCTTATAATATGGGTTCATCAATGATACCACTCTTGGGCATATACCCAAGGAATGCTCAATCACACCACAAGAACACTTGCTCAACTATGTTCATATCAGCATTATTCATAATAGCCAGCACCTGGAAACAACCTAGATGCCCCTCAACCAAAGAACAGATAAAGAAAATGTGATACATTTACACAATGGAGTACTACTCAGCAGTGAAAAACAATGACATCATCAAATTTCCAGGCAAATGGATGGAACTAGAAAATATCATCCTGAGTGAGGTAACCCAGACTTTGAAAGACAAACACAGCATGTACTCACTCATAAGTGGATACTAGATGTAAAGCAAAAGATAACCAGACTACAATCCACAGCTCTAGTCAGTGCAGGTGCTGTTAATGAACCCATATTATTTTTTCTTTATTAAGAAATTTTTTATTCATTTTATATAGCAACCACAGATTCCCCTCCTCCCTCCTCCCACTCCCCCCGCAAGGCTTCCCCCACAACCCACCCCCCCATCCCCTCCTCTGAAAAGGTAAGGCTTCCCATGGGAAGTCAGCAAAGCCTGGTACATTCAGTTGAGTCAGGTCCAAGCCCCTCCCTCATGCATCAAGGCTGTGCAAAGTGTCCCACCATAGGACTCCAAAAAGCCAGCTCATGTACTAGGGATAGATCCTGATCCCACTGCCAGGGGATCCTTAAACAGACCAAGCTATACAACTATCTCTCTTACGCAGAGAGCCTAGTCCAGTCCCATACAGCTCCACAGCTGTCTGTCTAAAGTTCGCGAGTTCCTACGAGCTTGGTTCACTTGTCTCTGTAGAAGAATCAGTAAAAAAAATTATGTTTTAAAAAAAAAGTATGTGGAGCTGGTAAGATGACTCAGTGGGCAGAAGTACTCGAACGTGAGCCTGATGACCTAAGTTTAGTCCTTGGGCCTTCCCTCTCACAGATGTAGGAAAGAATGACTCCCATAAGTTGTCCCCAGACAAACAGATTCTCAAAAGTTGTCCCCCGACCTCCACACTCACGGTATGGCACACATGTGCACACATACACACACAAAATTAAATAAATGTAATATATGTGTGTGTGTGTATATATAATTACATATATACACATATATATACCATAGAACCATATGAGGTTCTCCCTTTGACTGCCCCCCTCCCCCGACTTTGGTCATCTATATGGACAGAGATGCATATAGTTTTTTTTTTCATTTCCTAATAGAGAAAAATCTAAAGCAGTGGTTTAGTAATTTATAATGAATTGGAAGATGTGAGAATTTGTTGCTCAGAGCATTGAGTACTAAAATGATTGCTTCAAGTTTTGCCAGGTATATATCATTTGTTGGGTCTTTACCCTTTACTAGAGACATCCTGACTAAGGGATGAAAAGTAACAAAATCCCAGAGTTCTATCACACATGATACTCAGCAGTGCCATCCAAGTCTCATGGTTCTCTCAGTTAATTCCTGAGGTAGTCACAGTTCTCAATAAGAGCTGCTCTCCAGTACCCTGGCATCTACCAAGGGAACGAAAAGAGGAAGCACAAGGTCCAGACATGCCTCTAAAACTAGGTCCCTTTTGATTTCAACATGTACAAAAACTCTGTAAATGTAGACCATGTTCCCTCTGTGGAGCGGTTTGAGTAAGAATGTCCCGGAGAGACTCAGATGGTCGGATACTTGGTCCCAAATTGGTAGCACTGTTTGAGGAGGTTTATTTCAGAAAGGAGGACTCTGAGATTTCAAAAGCCGCACACACCATTCCCAGTTCAATCTCTCTGCTTTCTGCTTGTGGTTTAAGATGTGTGTTCTCAGTTTGCTGATCCAGTCACCATGTCTGCCTGCTGCCACACTTGCCCACCATGACAGGGATGGATCTTTATCCCTCGGGAACTGTAAGCCCAAAGAAACCCTGCCTTCTCTATATTGCCTTCTCTATATTGTCACTGTCTTAGTTACTTTTCTATTGCTGTGACAGAAAACTATGATCAAAGCAACTTATACAAGAAAACATTTAATTTGGGATTCACGGTTGTAGACGGTTAGTGTCCACAGTAAGGGAACAAGGAAGCAGGCAGGCAGGTAGGCAGGCACTAGGCCTAGAGCTGAGAACTTATATCCTTATCTACAAGTAGGAGACCGAGAAAGCTAACTAGGAATGGTGTAGGCTTTTGAAACCTCAAAGCCTGCCTGCAGTAACACATCTCCAACAAGGTCACTGCCCCACCTAAGTACCTACCTGCCTTCCCTCAATGATGGGCTGCTACTTGGAAGTTTAGGATTAAATAAACCCTTTCCTCCCCAAATTGCTCTTGGTCATGGTGTTTTAGCATAGTAATAGATACCTAACTAAGACAAAATGGGAATGGTTCTGCTCACTAACCCTCTAGAGACCCAGTATGAAAATATGTCCTGTGATTAAAGTCAACGGGAAACTACAACACCCCAATCAATCAGGCAGGGGAACAAAGGGTCATCTTCAGAGATGAAGGTATGGGTCACTCCTCAAAAAAAAAAAAAAAAAAAACCAAGCCTGCTGAGGTGCTTGCTGAGCATGGAGGCAGGTAGAGGATAGTTTTAAATACCAGCTAAGGCTACCTGACCAGCTACAGAAGAGGACAGTAACTGGCATGAGTGTTTCTGCCCTGCTTTGTTAAAAACAAGTTTACATATATTAAGGCAGTGTTTGCATCTTCTTTCCTCTATTTCTTTATCATGTAATGTAACATCAATTGAGATAGTATCAGTGGTTAAGTACTGTAAAACTATTTTATCATATTTAAAAGACCAAGCATTCCTCCAGGTACCTTGCCACTTATTCAAAATTATATAATACATTTGTGATTGTATGTGGATGAGTTATATCATGCAAGGTGAAATTATGAACTCATTTTTATTTTTATTTGGAAATTAAGCATAACATAAGGAGATGTGATTGTGTTGGGGTGGACTTGTGATGCCCTAATTTTGGTTGTCAACTTGACTACATATGAATCAACTAAAATTCAACAAACTGGGCACTCTTCTTACGGCTTTTCTAAACAATCAGATTATCTGAAGGAAGAAGACCCACCCTAAACCTAAACAATCAGATTATCTGAAGGAAGAAGACCCACCCTAAACCTAAACAATCAGATTATCTGAAGGAAGACCCACCCTAAACCTAAACCATCAGATTATCTGAAGGAAGACCCACCCTAAACCTAAACCAGATTATCTGAAGGAAGAAGACCCACCCTAAACCTAGGCCACATCTTCTGATAGATGTGGAAGAAGGAAAATGCTTTTTCCGAATTGTCCTCACTCTCCCTGGCAAGTTCATCTATCCTAATGCTGTAGTCAGTACCAAATCTAGTTCTTCAGGATCCCAATGTAGACCGAAAACCAGTAATTATCCAAGAATTCTCCTGGGCTCTAGCACCAGACTGGGACTGACTGCAGAGACATGTAGTCTTGTAGACTGGCTGAACTACCAGATTCTCGGCTTTTCTGTCATGAGACAGCCACTGGTGGACTACTCAGACTGCATCCTATATGGCAGTGTGTGAGTCTGTGTGTGTGTGGAGGTAGGGAGGGTGTTCATTCTATTTAGGTAACTAAAACATACATGAGAACCCAGAAAAGGACTGAAATATGTTAAGACTTATATATCACTAAAAGTAATCATTAAATGGCCCTGGCAAAGGATGCTATCAATACTACATCATACCTGTGTTTTTGAAGAAAGGAGGACACAGTTAGGATGTTTCAAAGGCTATACATGTTTTGTTTTGTTTTGTTTTTAAAAAAAAAAGTACTGAGGGACTCCAGAGCAGCCTGGAAGAGGTGAATTGAACCCTTTTTGAGTTTCAACTACAATGTTTCTGAGACGCTATTGAAACAGGAAATAAATACAATGTTAGCCAATATCTAAGAGCAAAATATCATCTAGCTGTTGATTTCATAGAATTATTTATTTTAATACTAAATGTTGGATATGGGGACCTCAATGAACAGCATTAAAGCTATCACAATTCATTATGGGAATCGTTTCTTTTCAGACTTAGAACAGACAACAAAGATTGATCAAACTGGTAAACCCTATGCTATATTTTATATAACAGAACTTAATTCTTGAAAGCCCTATATACTATATAGCCTTTGAATCATATTAATTTTTTCAGTGCTGGGACAAAAACCAGGGACTCATGGATGTTAGGCAAACACTGAACCACAGAACCGGCCTCATTAGCAACTATTCTGATTAAGGTCCAAAGTTCCATATGCAAGGTCAAATTTAAATAATAGGAACAAATTTTAATTCATTATTTCAATAATGAATTTAATATTTTAATTCATTATTTTCTGTATTATATAGCATATGTGGGGACTATTTTAGGGCAATGAGTACTGACACTATAAAAAGCAGAAGCAGGGGCCTACTTAAAACCTTTTCCCATTTGTGTTTACTATGTAGCCATTTGTTCATCTTATTACAGAAAAACACAACATACAGTACCATCCTCCTAAAGTCCACTATTAAACCTGAAGTCCAGTGGTGCACATCTGTAAACTTAGCACTTAGGAGTGTGAGGTAGGATCTTAAGAGTTCAAGGTCATTGGGCTGGAAAGATGGCTTAGTGGTTAGGAGCACTTACTGCTCTTGCAGAAGGACCCAGGTTTGGTTCCCAGCACACACATGGTAGATTACAACTGTCTGTCAATTTCTAGGATACTGATTTAACACC